TTGGAAATGCTCTCGAGAAACATAGAAAAGCAATTATATTACGAGAAAAAGTTGAATTATTTGATGTGTGCCATAGATTGAAGTCAGAAGCTGTGGTTGCCTACCATTTCCAGATTAATAAATCCAGTGTAAAGACCACAGCTGAAAAACAAAAAGGGAAGAACATTCATGAAGCTGTTGCTGGAGCAATGCTAGCATGCATGAAATCCTTGCACTTTTCACAAAATACCTTTTTATATTGTATTGAAAATACAGTTTTTATGTGTGGGTGCAGGGTTGCTACAAGCAATGCATACCTATAGACTTCGATATGATCTGACAACCTAAAGCAAAAGGAAGGTGAAAGATGTAAAGCTGAAGAATTTAATGACAGTAAAAGATGGCTTGATAAACGTAGAAAGTGGTTTGCCTTTTAAAATGTTAAGAAAACAGGAGAAACACCTTCTGGCAATCAAAAGACACAGAGATCCCAGACACCATTAAGAAAATCATTGAGGAGAAAGGATATCTGCCTGAACAACTTTTAACGCAAGGAACATGCCCTATTTTGGGGGGAAAAAGCCACAAAGGATATTTATTAGTAAGATGAGAACTAGCACCAGAATTTAAGGCAGGAAGAGATAGGCTAACTCTACCGTTTTATGCAAATTCAGTTGGGCTTATGATTAGAACCACCCTTATCTATAAAGTTGCTAACCCTGAGTAATGAAGGGAAAAACTTCGATCCCCAAATGCTCAGGGTGACTGATTTGAGTAATAGCAAAACTCCAGTCTCTCACACAGCCAGCTCTGTATGAATTACTCTTTCTACATTGCTATGCCCCTGTCTTGATAAATTGGCTCTGTCCAGGCAGTGGGCTAGGTGAACCCATTGCACAATTACAATCTGATGGTTTTAAAAGTGGCAGCTTCCCCTGCATGCTCTCTCTCTCTCCTGCCATTATGAAAGACATGCCTTGTTTCCCCTTCACTTTCAGGCATGATTGCAAGTTTCCTGAGGCCTCTCCAGACGTGCAGAACTGTGAGTCAAATTAAACTTCTTTTCTTCATAAATTACCCAGCCTCAGGTAGTATCTTTATAGCAATGTGAGAACAGACTAATATAGTCAGGCAGAAATTATGATGTGTTTCTGTAAAGTTAAACAGTGTATACCTGCCTCTCTTGCCTCATCTTTTATCTCCTCTTTCACATCGGAGACGGCAAGACCAACCTCTCTTCTTACGCCTCCCCCTCAGCCTAGTCAATGTGAAGACCTTTATGATGATTCATTTCCACTAAATAAATAGTAAATTTATTTTATCTTCTTTATGATTTTCTTAATAACATTTTCTTTCTTCTAGCTCATTTTATTGTAAAAATATGGTATATAATGTATACATGTATATAAAACATACAAAATGTGTGTTAATCAACTGTTTATGTTATCAGTAAGACTTCTCATCGACAGTAGGCTGAGTAGCTAAGTTTTTGGAGAGTCAAAAGTTATAAATGAGTTTTCTACTATGCAGATGGTCAGCACTCTTAATCCCCACATTATTTAAGGATTACCTTTTTTTTTTTTTTTTCCCCCCCCAGAGCCTAACCAAGGGTGATATCAGGGCCTTTTCTATCTGGAAAAAGGAGAATGCTCAACTCCAGCCCACTCTAGCCACCTTGCCCAGCTTAAAAGGAGAACATACCTGAGAAGCACAGCTGAAGTTCATAGTTCAGGGGCACAAGCTCACCAAAGACTGAGACATTGTTATAAAACTATAGAACTTCCCATCTTCCACACCATACTTACACATTGTTGAAGTGAACTAATTATGGCCTGAGAAGGACTCTGTACTTCTACATTTGAGTCCTTGTGGACAAAATGCAACCTAATAGGTAGACAAGATTGAAAATCTAACTTAGGTGTATGCTCCTGTAAGTACGGCTGAATCTTGGCCAATCCCCACCTCCATACTTCAACTACTCATACACTGCTGAATTTTCAAAGTGTGTTCAGAGAAGGCAAATGCCAACCGGTAACCAATCCACCTGTTTCTATACCTTACTTCCAATTTCTGTATGTTACTTTACTTTTTATTGTGTATAAATTAGTTCTGACCACAAGGCATCCCCAGAGTCTCTGAATCTGCTGTGATTCTGGGGACTGCCCAATTTGCAAATATTTCACTGCTCAATTAAACACCATTAAATTTAATTAGGCTGAAGTTTTTCTTTTAACAACATTTAATAAAGGCCTATTTCCTGCAGCTTCTTTTACCCAGTACATCATGTCCCCACCTTTCAACAAAAAATTAGAAGGCATACTAAAACACACAGACGCACAGACACACACACACACACACACACACACACACACACACACACACAGTTTGAATAAACTGAACAGGTTTGGAAACCAGAGGCAGATAGGGTAGAAATGTTGGAATTATCAGACCCGAAAATTTAAAATTATGATTAATATGCTATAAACCTTAAAGGGAAAAAAAACCAGATGACATGCAAGGAAAGAGAAATAATGTAAACAGGGAGATGAAAATTCTAAGAATTTTAAAATGCTAAAAAGCCAGGCCTAGTGGTACATGCCTCTAATCCCAGCTACTCAGGAGACTGAGGAAGGAGGATCGCTTGAGGCAAGGAGTTCAACACTGTAGTGCATTATGATTATGCCTGTGAATAGCCACTGCACTCCAGCCTGGGAAACATAGCAATATCCCATCTCTATTTTTTTTTAATGCTAGAGGTCAAAAACACTGTAAAATAACTGAAGAATGCCTTTGGTGGGTTCATTGTTAGACAACACAGCTGAGGTAAAAATTCCTGAGTTTGAGGATATGACAATAAAAACTTCCAAAACTGAAAAGCAAGACTAAGAAGACTGAATTTAAAAAAGAAATCAAAATTTCATGAATTTTACACAACTACAAAAGGTGTAACATGCTTACGATACAAATACCAGGCCTCGAATACCTGGGAGACAGAGCCACTCGTTCAACTGAAAAGGAGGGGGCTGAAACAGGGAGTCAGGTGATCTGGTTTGGCAGATCCCACACCCACAAAGACCAGCAATCTGAAATGCTCTGGATTGAGAGTATAGCAGCAAGCACAGCTGGACCTAGAATGGTTCAGCTAAGTGAGGAGAAGGGCGTCCGCCATTACCAAGGCAGTCCTGCACTACTGAGGCAGTCTGCCATTACTGAGGCAGTCTGCCATTACTGAGAAAGACTGCCATTACTGAGGCAGTTCTACCTGGCCTCTATAAGCAAAACTGCAAGGAAGTTTACACAGCAGCTGGACAGAGCCCACGGCAGCTCAGCAACACCTCTACTGGCAGACTGTGACTAAAATACCTCCTTACTGGGCAGGGCATCTCTAAAAAAAGGCAGCAGCATGTCAGGAACTTATTAATTAAGCCCCGCCTTCCCAGGACAGAGCACCTGGGAAAAGAGACAGTTATCAGTTCCACTGCAACAGACTTACACATATCCGCCCAGCAGCTTTGAATAAAACAATTGAGCTCCCAGTATAGCACTTGAGCTCCTATAAGGGACAGACTGTCTCCTCAAGCAGCTCCCCGACCTCCATATATCCAAAGAGACACCTCATAAAGGAGAGCTTAGACTGACATCTGGTGGGTACCCTTCTAGGATGAAGATAACAAAAGAAGAAACTGGCAGCAACCCTTATGGTTCTGCAGCCCCCGTGGGTGATCCCCAGGCAAGCAGGGTCTGGAGTGGACCTCCAGCAGTACTGCAACAGAGGAGCCTGACTGTTAGAAGGAAAACTAAATAACAGAAAGAAATAGCTTCAATATCAACAAAAAGGATGTCCACTCAGAGACCCATCCAAAAGTCACCAACTACAAACAGCACAGGTAGATAAATCCATGAAGATGGGAAGAAACTAGCAGAAAAGAATGGAATCACCAAAAACAAAAATGACTATCCTCCTCCAAGGGATCACAACTCCTCACCAGCAAGGGAACAAAGCTGGATGGAAAATGAGTCTGATGAACTGACAGAAACAGGCTTCAGAAGGTGGGTAATAACAAACTTTTCTGAGCTGAAAGAACATGTTGTATCCCAATGCAAAGAAACTAAGAACTTTGAAAAAAAGATTAGATGAAATGCTAACTAGAATAAACAGCTTAGAGAAGAATATAAATTATTTGATGGAGCTGAAAAACACAGCATGAGTACTTCCAGAACTTCCCTAACTGAGCAAGGCAAGCCCACATTCAAGTATGGGAAGTACAGAGAACACCACAAAGATATTCCCCAAGAAGAGCAACCCCAAGGCATACAATCATCAGATTTACCAGGGTTGAAATGAAGGAAAAAATGCAAAGGGCTGCCAAAGAGAAAGGTCGGGTTACCCACAAAGGGAAGCCCATCTGACTCACAGTGGATCTCTTGGCAAAAACCCTACAAGCCAGAAGAGAATGGGGGCCAATATTCAACATCCTTAATGAAAAGAACTTTCAACCTGGAATTTCATATCCAGCCAAACTAACATTCAGAAGTGAAGGAGAAATAAAATCCTTTATGAACAAGCAATTGCTGAGAGATTTCATCGCCACCAGGCCTGCCTTACAAGAGCTCCTGAAAGAAGCACTAAACAAGGAAAGGAACAAGAAGTACCAGCCACTCCAAAAACATATCAAATGGTAAAGACCATCAACGCAATGAAGAAAATGTGTCAACTAATGGGCAAAACATCCAGTATCATCAAAATGGCAGGAAAAATTTACACATAATAATATTAACCTCGGTCTGTGGAGGGACGGCTTGGTCTGGGGTCGTCTCGTGGGTCCTGCCGGTTTGGTCGCTTTTGGGGCTCTTGAGCCCCTTCCCGACCATCACCATGGAAGTGTCACCATTGCAGGCCCTCGGTCAATAATGCATGCAGGAGCCCAGAGCAGTGGGTGTGTTTGATGGGTGACATCTACCACGTTGCTCAAGAAAAGAGGTTTCCAGGCAGACCGACCCACTGGCCTGTAAATGAGAATATGCAAGTCAACAAAATAAAGAAAAATGAAGATGCTAAGAAAAGACTGTCTGTTGAAAGAATCTATCAAAAGAAAACACAGTTGGAGCATATTTTGCTCCGCCCGGACACTTACATTGGCTCTGTGGAATTAGTGACCCAGCAAATGTGGGTTTACGATGAAGGTGTTGGCATTAACTATAGGGAAGTCACTTTTGTTCCTGGTTTGTACAAAATCTTTGATGAGATTCTAGTTAATGCTGCGGACAACAAACAAAGGGACCCAAAAATGTCTTGTATTAGAGTCACAATCGATCCGGAAAACAATTTAATTAGTATATGGAATAATGGAAAAGGTATTCCTGTTGTTGAACACAAAGTTGAAAAGATGTATGTCTGTGGGGAACACTCCCATGTGAGACCCCTAAAAGGTGTGAGTCTCACTATACGGTGAGTTTGATCCCAAACACAGTTTCCTACTGGAGGCAGTCGAGCTATCCGGAATATAGGAACTGAAAGATGAATGATCAGTTTCTAATATCAACCACAATATTGTTTGGGCCTAAAACTATGCGTTGCTGCTAGACTGAGTGACCCCCTACCGGCAACCAGTTCCTGCTTTTAACCTTTTTATGACTTTAAGAATAATCCTTAAACCTTACTTACCAGACTGCCTTGTACCCTAGATAATGGTTTAACTGTCAATATTTGCAAAGCAAAATGCCACCATAAGGGATGGCTTTGATTCCTGACTCAGAGATTCCTGAATGGGGAAATTGAGTTAAGTTGAGTTAGGAGTAGACAAAGGAGAATCCGGTTAAAAGATATTCTGATAAGCAAAACCAGAGATACCTGCAGCTAGGAGGAATAATGTCTGGATGTAAACAAGCTTTGTGATCACAGGAAATTCTGTTACCTTTTACAACCACTGATTGTGTATCTGACTTTTCAATTGTATAGGCCATGTAAGGTATACATTTACATTTCGTCTTGCAACCATTGTGTATTTGACTTCTCTATTGTATAGGCCATGTGAGGCATACATTTACATTCCTCTTACTATGACGTAAACCAGAGCCAAGAAAGCGTATTTATTCCTGGCCTTTGAAAAATAAAATTTGCTGTTTAGGCACAGCCTATCAGCCCTCCAGACGCCTCGCTTTCTCTCTCTCTGTCTTTATTATTTTCTCAGGCGCACTCCCTCTTCCAGGTATTGGGACCCTCTTGCAGGTCGAGAGACCCCCGGGCAGACGTGCCTACCCGTCCGGACGGTCCACGACATATGTCCCAGCTCTCATATTTGGACAGCTCCTAACTTCTAGTAACTATGATGATGATGAAAAGAAAGTGACAGGTGGTCGAAATGGCTATGGAGCCAAATTGTGTAACATATTCAGTACCAAATTTACTGTGGAAACAGCCTGTAGAGAATACAAGAAAATGTTCAAACAGACATGGATGGATAATATGGGGAGAGCTGGTGAGATGGAACTCAAGCCCTTTAATGGAGAAGATTATACATGTATCACCTTTCAGCCTGATTTGTCTAAGTTTAAAATACAAAGCCTAGACAAAGATATTGTTGCACTAATGGTCAGAAGAGCATATGATATTGCTGGATCCACCGAAGATGTCAAAGTCTTTCTTAATGGAAATAAACTGCCAGTAAAAGGATTTCGTAGTTATGTGGACATGTATTTGAAGGACAAGTTGGATGAAACTGGTAACCCACTGAAAGTAGTACATGAACAAGTAAACCACAGGTGGGAAGTGTGTTTAACAATGAGTGAAAAAGGTTTTCAGCAAATTAGCTTTGTCAACAGCATTGCTACTTCCAAGGGTGGCAGACATGTTGATTATGTAGCTGATCAGATTGTGACTAAACTTGTTGATGTTGTGAAGAAGAACAAGGGTGGTGTTGCAGTAAAAGCACATCAGGTGAAAAATCACATATGGATATTTGTAAATGCCTTAATTGAAAACCCAACCTTTGACTCTCAGACAAAAGAAAATATGACTTTACAGCCAAAGAGCTTTGGATCAACATGCCATTTAAGTGAAAAATTTATCAAAGCTGCAATTGGCTGTGGTATTGTAGAAAGCATACTAAACTGGGTGAAGTTTAAGGCCCAAGTCCAGTTAAACAAGAAATGTTCAGCTGTAAAACATAACAGAATCAAGGGAATTCCCAAACTTGATGATGCCAATGATGCAGGGGGCCGAAACTCCACTGAGTGTACGCTTATCCTGACTGAGGGAGACTCAGCGAAAACTTTGGCTGTTTCAGGCCTTGGTGTGGTTGGGAGAGACAGATATGGGGTTTTCCCTCTTAGAGGAAAAATACTCAATGTTTGAGAAGCTTCTCATAAGCAGATCATGGAAAATGCTGAGATTAACAATATCATCAAGATTGTGGGTCTCCAGTACAAGAAGAACTATGAAGATGAAGATTCATTGAAGACTCTTCGTTATGGGAAGATAATGTTTATGACAGATCAGGACCAAGATGGTTACGGGCAAAGAAACCTATAACGTACCTGGAAGAGTCAGATGAAGATGATCTGTTTTAAAATGTGAGGCAATTATTTTAAGTAGTTATCTTATTGAGCCCAAGACTGGTTTTAAAGTTACCTGAAGCTGTTAACTTTCTCCCCTCTGAATTTAGCTTGGGGAAGATGTTTTCAGTACAAGACCATCAAAATGAAGTGAGTAGAGCCCAAGTGTCCTTTAGCTTTTTTGTTTGTTTTGTTTTGTTTTTAAGATGGAGTCTCACTCTGTCACCCAGGCTGGCGTGCAGTGGCGTGATCTTGGCTCACAGCAACCTCAACCTCCTGGGTTCAAGCAATTCACCTGCCTCAGCCTCCCAAGTATCTGGGACTACAGGCGTACCACCACGCCTAGTTTTTGTATTAGTAGAGACAGAGTTTCACCACATTAGCCAGGCTGGTCTCAAACTCCTGACCTCAGGTGATCCACCTGCCTCACCTCCCAAAGTGCTAGGATTACAGGCGTGAGCCCCTGCGCCCGGCCCCTTTAGCTTTTTATAGTACTGTCTAAATATTGACCAGGAAATTGTTCTGTGTTTTGTGTTTGAGCCTGCTTTCTTTTGTTTAAAACCTGATTTTAAGTTCTTCTGAACTCTAGAAATAGTTATGTGGTCACTTCAGCATAAAGCAGTGTGTTTATTAACCATCCATTAAGCTAAAACTAGAGCAGTTTGATTTAAAAATGTCACTCTGCGTCCTTTCCTACTTTTAGTAAATATGAGATAGAGCATAGTTAATTCTCTGTTTTATCTTAGTTTTATGCATAATTTACCCTCAGAACTTTATGGTTCTAGTACAGATACTCCACACTCAGCCTCTTGATGTGTCAAATTTTTGTTCAGGCAATGAGAAATTGTTCATGTTCTTCATCTTCTCAAATCATCAGAGACTAAAGAAAAACACTTTGACTGTGTCTGTAACTTGACACAATCAATAGAATGAAGAAAATTAAACCAGTTATGTGATGATTTCAGCTCTTAACTGTCCCCTCCGGCTGCCCCTGAGTCTGAATCTCCCAAAGAGAGAAACCAATTTCTAAAGGGCACTGGATTGCAGAAGACTGGAGACATATGCTCCAAGATGTTAAATGTTATATTGATAACCATGCTCAGCAATGAGTGATTAGATTCATATCTCCGTAATTTCAATTTGTAACTTTTTAAAGACCTGTCTACATTGTTACCTGTGTGTGACTTGAGTGATGTTATCAGTGTTTTTGTAAATATTTACTATGTTTTTCTATTAGCTAAATTCCAACAATTTTGTACTTCAATAAAATGTTCCAAACATTGCAAAAAAAAAAATAATGTTAACCTTAAATGTAAATGTACTAAATGCCCCAATGAAAAGACACAGACTGACAAATTGGATAAAAAGTCAAAACCCATTAATGTGCTGTATCCAGGAAACCCATCTCACTTGCAAGGACACATAGGCTCAAAATAAAGGCATGGAGGAAGATTTATCAAGCAAATGGAGAGCAAGAAAAAGCAGGAGTTGCAATCCTAGTCTCTGATAAAATAGACTTTAAACCAACAAAGAACAAAAGAGACAAAGAAGAGCATTACATAATGGTAAAAGGATCAATTCATCAAGAAGAACTAACAATCCTAAATATATATGTACCCAAAACTGAAAACAGGAGCACACAGGTACATAAAGCAAGTTCTTAACAAGCTACAAAGAGACTTAGACTCCCACACAATAATAGTGGGAGACTTTAACACTCCACTGTCAATATTAGACAGATTAACGAGACAGATAATTAACAAGGATATCCAGGACTTGAACTCAGATCTGGACCAAGTGGACCTAATAGACATCTACACAAATCTCCACCTCAAATCTACAGAATATATATTCTTCTCAACACCACGTGGCACCTAATCTAAAATTGACCACATAATTGGAAGAAAATCACTCCTCAGCAAATACAAAAGAACAGAAATCATAATAAACAGTTTCTCAGACCACAGTGCAATCAAATTAGAGCTCAGAATTAAGAAGGTAACTCAGAACCTCACAACTTCATGGAAACTGAACAACAGACTCCTGAACGTCAGCTGGATAAACAATGAAATGAAGGCAGAAATAAAGATGTTCTTTGAAACCAAAGAGAATGAAGACACAATGTACCAGAATCTCTGGGAAATAGTTAAAGCAGTGTCTAGAGGGAAATTAACAACAATAAAAGCCCACATGAGAAGCGAGGAAAGATCTAAAATTGACACCCTACTGTCAAAATTGAAAGAGCTAGAGGAGCAAGATCAAAAAAACTCAAAAGCTACCTGAAGACAAGAAATAACTAAGATCAGAGCAGAACTGAAAGAGAAAGAGTCACAAAGAAACCCTTCAAAAACTCAATAAATCCAGGAGCTGGTTTTTTGAAAAGATTAACAAAATAGACAGTATGCTAGCCAGATTAATAAAAAAGAAAAGGGAGAATAATCAAATAGATGCAGTAAAAAACAATAAAGGGGACTCCACAGAAATACAAACTGCAATCAGAGATTACTACAAAAACTCTATGCACATAAATAAGTAAACCTGGAAGAAATGGATAAATTCCTGGACACTTGCACCCTCCCAAGCCTAAACCAGGAAGAAGTTGAAACCTTGAACAGACCAATAACAAGGGCTGAAGTTGATGCAGCAATTGATAGCCTACCAAATAATAAAAATTCAGGTCCAGACAGATTCACAGCTGAATTCTACCAGATGTACAAAGAAGAGCTGGTACCATTTCTTCTGAAACTATTCCAAACATTACAAAAAGAGGGAATCCTTCCCAAATTATTTCATGAGACCAACATCATCCTGATCCCAAAATCCAGCAGAGACTCAATAAGAAAAGGAAACTTCAGGCCAATATCCATGATGAACATAGATGCAAAAATCTTCAATAAAATACTGGCAAGCCAATTGCAACAGCACATCAAAAAGCTTATCCACCATGATCAAGTAGGCTTCATCCCAGGGATGCAAGTTTGGTTCAACATACGCGAGTCTATAAACGTAATTCACCATGTAAACAGAACCAAAGACAAAAACCACATGATTATCTCAGTAGATGCAGAGAAGCTCTTTGACAAAATTCAACAGCGCTTTATGCTAAAAGCTATCAATAAACTACGTATGGAAGGAACATATCTCAAAATAATAAAAGCTATTTATGACAAACCTACAGCCAGTATCATACTGAATGGGCAAAAACTGGAAGCATTCCCTTTGAAATCTGGCACTAGACAAGGATGCCCTCTCTCACCATTCCTATTCAATATAGTATTGGAAGTTCTAGACAGAGCAATTAAGCAAGAAAAAAAAAATAAAGCGTATTAAAATAGGAAAAGAGGAAGTCAAATTGTCTCTATTTGCAGACAACATGATGGTATATTTAGAAGACCCTAACATCTCAGCCCCAAATCTCCTTAAACTGATAAGCAACTTCAGCAAAGTCTCAGGATACACAATCAATGTGCAGAAATCACAAGCATGTCTATACACTAATAACAGACAAACAGAGAGCGAAATCATGAGCAAACTCCCATTCACAATTGCTACAAAGAGAATAAAATACCTAAGAATACAGCTAACAAAGGATGTAAAGGACCTCTTCAAGGACAACTACCAATAACTGCTCAAGGAAATAAGAGGGGACACAAACAAATGGAGAAACATTCCATGCTCATGGTTAGGAAGAATCAGTATCGTGAAAATGGCCATATTGCTGAAAGTAATTTATAGATTAAATGCTAGCCCCATCAAGCTACCAATGACCTTCTTCACAGAACTGGAAAAACCTTCTCCACCTTACACTTCATATGGAACCAAAAGATAACCCACATAGCCAAGACAATTCTTAGCAAAAAGAACAAAGCCAGAGGCATCATGCTACCTGATTTCAAACTATAATACAAAGCTACAGTAATCAAAACAGCATGATACTGGTACCAAAACAGAGATATAGACCAATGGAACAGAACAGAGGCCTTGGAGGCAATGACACACATCTACAACCATCCAATCTTTGCAAACCTGACAAAAACAAGCAATGGGAAAAGGATTTCCTAATAAATGGTGTTGGGAAAACTGGCTAGCCATGTGCAGAAAGCAGAAACTGGACCCCTTCCTGACACCTTACACTAAAATTAACTCCAGATGGATTAAAGACTTAAACATAAGACCTAACACCATAAAAACCCTAGAAGAAAACCTACGCAAAACCATCCAAGACATAGGCATGGGCAAGGACTTCATAACTAAAACACCAAAAGCATTGGCAATGCAAGCCAAAATAGATATATGGGACCTAATTAAACTCCAGAGCTTCTGTACAGCAAAGAAAACACTCATTAGAGGGAGCCGGCAACCAACAAAATGGGAAAAAAATTTTGCAATCTACCCATCTGACAAATGGCTAATATCCAGAATCTACAAAGAACTGAAACAGAATTACAAGAAAAAAACAAACAAACCCATTCAAAAGTGGGCAAAGGATATGAACAGACACTTTTCAAAAGAAGTCATATATGAGGCCAACAAACGTAGGAATAAATGCTCGTCATCACTGATTAATAGAGAAATGCAAATCAAAACCACATTGAGATACTACATCATGCCAGTTAGAATGGTGATCATTAAAAAATCTGGACACAACAGATGCTGGAGAGGATTTGGAGAAATAGGAACACTTTTACACTGTTGGTTGGAGTCTAAACTAGTTCAACCATTGTGGAAGATAGTGTGGCACTTCCTCAAAGACCTAGAAATAGGAACTCCATTTGACCCCGCAATTCCATTACTAGGTATATACGCAAAGGATTATAAATCATTCTATTATAAAGACACATGCATATGTATGTTCATTGCAGCACTGTTTACAATAGCAAAGACCTGGAACCAACCCAAATGCCCATCAATGATAGAC